TGTGGCATTCATTGTCACAAAGACTGTTTCAAGATCTGTACAATGCTGTCAGTGATAGGATAATATTCATATGTCTGCAAGGAAGATCAGCTAATTCTACTGTCATTCAAATTTACACACCAACCATCAAAGCCAAAGATGAGGAAATTGAAGATTTTTTTTTTATCAACTTCTGCAGTCTGAAATTAACTGAACATGCAATCAAGATGTGTTGATTAATGTTGGTGACTGGAATGCAAAAGTTGGAAACAAAGAAGAGTTACAGGTAGCTGGAAAATATGGCCTTGGTGACAGAAATAATGCTGGAGATCGCATGATAGAATTCTGCAAGACCAACGACCTATTCACTGCAAATACCTTTTTTCAACAACATAAACAACAACTATACATGTGGACTTCATGAGATAGATATATAGGAATAAGATTGACTACATCTGTGGCAAGAAGCAATGGAGAAGCTCAATATCTTCAGCCAAAACAAAGCCAGGAGCTGATTGTGGAACAGACCATCAGCTGCTCATATGCAGGTTCAAGTTGAAGTTCAAGACAATTAAAACAAATCCACAAGAGCCAAAATATGACCTTGATAATATCCCTCCTGAATTTACAGATCATTTAAAGAATAGATTTGATGCACTGAACACCAACGACCAAAAACTGGAGGAATTGTGGATGACACCAAAAACATCATCCATGAAGAAAGCAAGAGGTCATTAAAAAGACAAGAAAGGAAGAAAAGACCAAAATGGATGACAGAAGAGACACTAAAACTTGATCCTGAGTGGAGAGCAGCTAAAGCAAATGGAAGAAACGACAAGGTAAAAGAGCCGAACAGGAGATTTCAAAGAGGAGCTCAAGCAGACAAAGCCAATTACTATAATGAAATGTGCAAAGACTTGGAGTTAGAAAACCAAAAGGGAAGAACATGCTCGGCATTTCTCAAGCTGAAAGAACTCAGGGAAAAATTTAAGCCTCCAGTTGCAATACTGAAAGTTTCTATGGGCAAAATATTGAATGATGCAGGAAACATCAAAAGAAGATGGAGGGAATACACAGTCATTACACACACACACACAAAAAAAAAATTGTAGATGGCCATCCATTTCAGGAGGTAGCATATGATCAAGAACCCATGGTATTGAAGGAAGAAGTTGAAGCTGGACTGAAGGAATTGGTGAGGAACAGAGCTCCAGGAATTGATGAAATATCCACTGAGATGTTTCAACAGATGCCCCACTGAAAGCACTCACTTGGTTATGCCAAGAGATTTGGAAGACAGCTACCTGGCCAACTGACTGGAAGAGATCCATATTTGTACCCATTCCAAAGAGGCGATCCCACAGAATTTGGAAATTATTGAACAATATCATATGCAAGTAAAATCTTACTGAAAATAATTTAAAAACAGGTGCAGCAGTATATGACAGAGAGCTTCTAGAAATGCAAGCTGGATTGAGATGTGGATGTGGAATGAAGGAGATATCACTGCTGATGTCAGATGGATCTTAGCTGAAAGCAAAGAATACCAGAAAAGCATTCGATTGTGTGGATCATAATAAATTATGGATAACATTGAGAAGAATGGGAATTTCAGAACACTGATTGTGCTCATCAGGAACCTGTACATAGACCAGGAGGCTGTTGTTTGAACAGAACAAGGGGAAATTGCATGATTCAAAATCAAGAAGGGCGTACATCAAGATTGTATCCTTTCGTGATCCTTATTCAATTTGTATGCTGAGCAAATAATCTGAGAAAGTGGATTATATGAAGAAGAATGTGGCATCAGGATTGGAGGAAGACTCATTAACAACCTGCGATACACAGATGACACAACTTTGCTTGCTGAAAAAGAGGAAAACTTGAAGCACTTACTGATGAAGATTAAAGACTACAGTCTGCAGTATGGATTATACCTCAATATAAAGAAAACAAAAATCCTCACAATTGGTCTAATAAACAGCTTCATGGTGGATGGAGAAAAGATTGAAGTTGTCAAGTATTTCATATTACTTGGTTCTACAATCAACACCGATAAAAGCAGCAGTCAAGATATCAGATGATGTATTGCATTGGGCAAATCTGCTGCAAAAGACCTCTTTCAAGTGATGAAGAGCAAAGATGTCTCCTTGAAGACTAAGGTGCGCCTAACCCAAGCCATAGTATTTTCAATTGCCTCTTATGTATGTGAGAACTGGACTATGAATAAGGAAGAGTGAAAAAAAGTTGATGCTTTTGAGTTGTGGTGTTAGAGAAGAATGCTAAGAATACCATGGTCTGCTAAAAGGACTAACACAAATCTGTCCTGGAAAAAGTGCAGCCAGAATGCTCCTTGGAAGAGAGAATGGCCAAACTTCATCTTACCTACTTTGGTCATGTTGTCAGAAGGACCATTCCCTGGAGAAGGAGATCATGCTCAGTAAAGTGGAGGGTCAACCAACAAGGGGAAGGCCCTCAGCAAGATGGATAGACACAGTTGCTGCAATGATGGACTCAGGTATAGCAAGGATCATGAGGCTGGCACAAGACTAGGCAGCGTTTCATTCTGCTGTGCATCGGGTCGCTATGAGTCGGAGATGACTCGATGGCACCTAACGACAACAACAATAGTCCTAGGTATACCCAGGGGATCTCAATTGAAAGCTTGGTATATTTAATAGGTTTCCTCTTCCTTGGTTGGCCCTGAACACTAATTTTGGTTGTCCCAGCTCCACGGATAGCCAAAAGCTCTGCTTAGCTTCTTAGCCTTTTAGTGGTTTCTTGTCACTTGGTTTCTCAGCTTCTCATTCCACCAGCTTTCGTATTGGCAGATATATCTTGAGGTAGGACAGAATGATAGGCTCACTTTTCTGCATTTCCTTTCTATCTAGATTTTGGCCTCTCAAGTCCTAAGCTCAATTTTTATCTTTCCTCTCCTGTGAGACTCTTTGAAGTTCTCAGCTATCACTTTCTGCTCAGCCTCTAGGCCCACATCACTATTGAACTGGCAAAAACTTCACAAGGAAGTGGCAAAGTTTGTCACGCTTAAATTAGTGGCTTCCCCTTCTCACTAGGATCTTGGTCCTTCTGGTCCTGGCTACCCTGTTGCTTCACAATGCCTTCAAACATATATATTTTTAAAATTCAGCTTTTATAGTTCTTGATGGGACAGTTCTGGAGCTGAAGGCTCATCATTCTTCATTGATGTCAACTTTCATTTATTGGGTTCTCTCTTTGTGCCAGGCACCATATCTAAGCTTTTTTTTTTTTTTTAAATTTCTGAATCCTCACAGTAGTTCTTTGAGGTAGGAGTGTTATTATTCTAATTTTATATGTGGAAAACCTGAGGCTCAGAGAGGTGAATAGATTTGCCTAGGATAGAGAAGTCACTATAAAAAGATACAGAACTTGAATCCAAACATGATGACACTAAAGCTCAGACCTTTAGGTATTAGGCATCCGCCTCTCTAGTATAACCTTGAGGTTAAGAGTAGGCTCTAGGGCCTCTTTCCTCCGGGAAGCCCTCCTAGATAGAACACCTGCAGAGCCTCTCCCACCTCTGCACTTCTGTAGGACAACTATTCATGCCCAAATCTCTCTGAGCTCCCAGTAAGAGTGCTGGCATCCCATGTATAATCCTGATAATAAGTTTCCTGAGGACAGGCCTCCCAAACACATCTGGCACAGCTCTGAGCATGCTGGAGCTCAGGAAGCTGATAGAGAAGATGGATCACATCACAGAGAGGTAGCCTGTAAGTTAATGCTTGGGTCACTTTAGGGACAGACACAGTTCCTGACTCTGGGGGGACTAGCTTCCTAGGGATAGGGTCACACTGGCCAGGTAGTCAGGAATAGCTAAGTGTTTTCAGAGTAACTGTTTTGCCTCCTTAATTACTAAGCAACCAACAAACTAACCAACTGGAGTTGAAAGGAGGAAATAGGTGCCCAGGGTAAAAGGAGTAGCCCCTTGTGAGAGGGGAGCTGACTAGGGATCCTCAGCAGCCACCCAGAGGGGGCCTATCCCCCAGCGTGTGAGCAACTGCCTCTGGTACTATGAGGATCATCTATGAGCAGTAAGTAAGCAGTGGGCATTGGAACCAGTGAGGCAGATCAGGAAGGAACCACCTAGTTGATAGGGGTAGCCTGCACCCTCACCTATACATCCTCCAAGAGCAGGGTCCCACAACAGTCAAGGTTGGAAGAAATGAAGAGAAAGGATTGTTCTTGGACTTGGGCAAGGTACTGCTCCTCTAGGGCCTTGGCTGCCCCAAGAACAAGATGGGCACATGTCTATTGCCTCCATGTAAAAAGTGAGCTCTAGGGCCCTTCACTTCCTAGAAAGCCAGAGTCCACAGTGCTGGGCAGGAGTCTACCTTGACCTCTTCCAGACTTCCTTGAAGGCCAACAGAGCCCAGGGACGGTGGGAAGAAGAGGAAGCCTTCTTGCTGCCCTCTGCAGAAGGGGTCACTCTAGTGAGTGGACACTATTTCCCACCTCAGACCCTTTCCTGAGATGCTCAGAGTACTGCTCCATTGTCTACAGCTTCCTCAGCCATCCCAATCCAACCTTAGCACTCTCCTCAGTCTCCCATATGCAATGGGAGCTCCTCCAACCAAACTTCTATTCAAAAAAGGCTCTCCTTGCTAACATGCCTGTGCTTCTTCTGCCCCATTTGACTAGCAAGGAGAGAAAAGAGAAAATGGAAACTTCTGATACCCAGGATGCACTTCTCCAAGTCCCAGGGGACAAAGTAGTAGAGACTGACAGAGCTGAAATCCAAGAGGGAATTCCCCTATCTGGAGACACCTTCTAGCAGGGTCCCAGGCTGGGGATTGTCAACCTCTCAGCAGTGAGGCTGCACTTCTATAATGGGAACTTGCATTTTCATTTTCTTTCCTGAAGACAAAAAGGAAGAAAGCAGCAAACTGAACAGTGTTCTGACATACTACGTTCCTACATCACAGTCGTAAGAGCCCTCCCCATCCTTGTCCTGCCCAGAACTGCAGTCTCCCAGTGCTCACAGCTGCAGAGGCAGAGCCAGATGTGCCCCAGCAGTGAGGTGAGTGGAAGTTAGAGGGGTTTGAATCCATAGGGAAAAGGCCTACTGGGATGGGGAGAAGGCCCCCTGCAGGCTCTTGGCCAGACACCTGGAGTGTCTTCTTGCTGTCTCATCCCAGAGGCAGGAGAGTAGGGCTGGTTTCTGCTTCACCAGGGACAACTGGGGTTCATTAGACACATGGGGGGCTCTTAGGGGCTCTGATTTGTCAGCTCTGGATTGCTCTGCAGAGCAGAGGGTAAGATCATATAGGAGCATTTGTGAGCCTTTCTTGCTGAGGGACTTTCAGGGTCCCTGGAGCATGAGTTTGGGTTCTCGGAATGAATTCTGAGTTTCTGGCCAGGCCTAAGGTCATGGATGTCAAGTCTCACTGTCCTGGACCTTGTTTGTTCCACACACATCAGGAAGAAGATCTCTGCTGGCTAAAGGCAGCAAGTTGGCCTCCTGTTGTACCTGAGTATTCCAGCAGTAAGTTCAGTGCCTGGCTCAGAACAAGGGCTTGGCAACTATCAGTTGTGTAACTATCAGAGGTGGACAGAGATGTGCATGTCTGTGTGTTAGAGAAAAGGGGGCCATTTCTTGCTATTAGACTGGAAGTTCCCCACAATTACCTCACCTCATCCCCACAATGATCTCACCATGTATGTGGTCTTCTCCTCACTTAGCAACTGGCAAATGTACCCCAGGAACTTGCTCTGCCAAGCCCTGTTTCACTGGGCAGTGGGACAGGTCAGACCAGACCCTGAACTCTAGAGGCATCAGAGGAGACAAGAGGAGGTCAGGGAAAAGAGGACACAGACAGACAGAACTCTGACAGAAATGCAAAGATGGACTGGGTGCCCTGGGGTGGCTGTCCCAGCTGTGGAGGTTAGAGGGCAGATGGAGGTCACCTTCCCTGGAGAAAATGCTTCATGGAAGGGAACATTTGAACTGAGCTTTGAAAGAGTTGTCTTTGATACACAGAACTTGGGATGGGAAGTACATCCTTGCAGAGAAAACTGTTAGGTGCTGTCGAGTCAGTTTCAACTTATAGCGACTCTATGTTCCACAGAATGAAATACTGCCTGGTCTTGTGCCATCCTCATGATTGTTGCCACATTTGACCCTATTGTCGCAGCCACTGTGTCAACCAATCTCATAGAGGGTCTTCCCCTTTTTCTCTCACTCTTTACTTTACTCAGCATGATATATTCTTGAGGTGCTGGTCCATTCTGATAACATGACCGAAGTGTGAAAGATGAAGGTGTGGAAGTGATAATTCCTCCAAGAACAGATTTGTTTGTTCTTCTAGCAATATATGATACATTCAATATTCTTTGTTAACACCACAGTTCAAATGCATCTGTTCTTCTTTGGTCTTCCTTATTCACTGTCCACCTTGCATTTGCATTTGAGGCTACTGAAAATACCATCCATGGTTTGATCTGGCACACCTCAGTCTTCACAGTGACATCTTTGTTCATGAACACTTAAAAGAGGTCTTTTGCAGCAGATTTGCCCAGTGCAATACATCTTCTGATTTCTTGGCTGTTGCTTCCACGGGCATTGATTGTGTATCCAAGTAAAATGAAATTCTTGACAACTTCAGTCTTTTCTCCTTTTAGCATGATGTTGTTTATTCATCCAGTTGTTTCCTTTATGTTTTGTTTCCTTTATGTTGAGAGGTAATCCACACTGAAGGTGGTAGTCTTTGATCTTCATCACTAAGTGCTTCAAGTCTCTTCAGTTTCAGCAAGCAAGGTTGTGTCATCTGCGTAACACAGGTTGTTAATAAGCCTTCCTCCATGTTCTCAGAGCGTTTGCTCAGCATACAGATTGAATAAGTATGAAGAAAGGATGAAACCCTGACATACACTTTTCCTGATTTAAAACCAGACTGTATCCCCTTGTTCTGTTTGAATAACTGCCTCTTGATTTATGTACAGGTTCCTCATGAGCACAATTAAGTGAATTTCCTTTTTTGCAACATTATCCATAATTTGTTATAATCCATAGTCAAATGGTTTTGTATAGACAACAAAGCACAAGTAAACGTCTTTCTGGTATTCTCTGCTTTCAGCCAAGATCTATCTGACATGAGCCTTCCTCATTCTATGTCCTCTTCTGTATCCTGCTTGAATTCCTGATAGTTCCCTGTCATTGTAGAATCATACACATAGAGAAAATAGTGTGAACAAAAGCTGGGTGCTGAGAAAGTATATTAGTTATTCAAACCCACTCAGCCCTTAACTCCTGTTGAAGGTAGCAGCATGTGCTAGGCCACATGGGGTTGGTGTAAAAGGCAGAGAGTTTGTGGTCCTCAAGTCTGTACAGGGACAAAGCTGGCATTGTTAGTGGCCTTTCATGTATGTGCCAATAAGATTTTAAAGGATAGATTACTGGAGATGGAGTTGTTGAGAAAATGATGGGTGCATTTCACCTTGTGGCAGATACTGCTGGTTGCCCTCTGTCTTAGTTTCCTAGAGTTGCTGCAACAGAACTACCCCAAGTGGGTGGCTTTAAAGAACAGAATTTATTTTCTTACAGTTCAGGAGGCTAGAAGTCTGAATCAGTCATGTCGTTTCCTTCTATGAGTCTCTCCTTAGTTTCTGGTGAGTACTCTCACCCCTTAGCTTTCCTTGACATCTCCCTTCTCCTTGTGTATATCTGTCTATTCTTCTCTTTTATAAAATTCAAAAGTGATTAGGTTTTGCCGCACACACACACACACACACCTGGCCTCTGGTAGGATCTCATTAACATAACAACAACAAAAAAAACCTTCTGTTTCCAAATAGGATTGCATCCACAGGTACAGGAACCAGATATTTAACAAATCTTTTCTGGGACAAAGTTCAGTCCATAACACCCTCCATGAGCTCCTATCAGTTCTTCAGTGAAAGGTCCCTAAACATTCTTCTTTGGTCAAGATCTCCTGACCCTGAAAGTGAGCTTGTGGCACTCATGCCCTGTAAAGTACCTAGCCCAGTCTGGGCCATGGTTAGCATGGGGAATGTGTTAGCTGTTATTATCCTTGTGGTTTCCAGACAGGCTTTCTGATTGGCCTGAAGCAGCCAATCATCTGTGCTCCTTCAAAATTCCTGATGCTAGATGCACCTACTTTTCCACTAGCTGAATGCTCTTGAGGGCAACAGCTTGGTCTTCTGTTGCACCTGAGTATCCCCAGCAGTCAGTTCAGTGCCTGGCTCAGAGCAGGGGCTCTGCAGTGGTTTATTGTGTGACTGTCAGATCTGAGGAAGGTGTACCCTATTGGCTCTATCCTTCCCATGTTGCAGGGCCACATTGTCTCCAAATGACAATGTTGTTTTTGTTGTTAGTTGCCATCCATTCCAACTCATGATGACCCCACATGTGCAGAGTAGAACTTCACAGGATTTTCAGGCCCGTGACCTTCCAGAAGCAGATCACCAGGTCTGTCTCCTCTGGGTGGGTTTGAACTGCCAACCTTTTAGCTAGTAGTTGAGCACTAACTGTATGCATCACCCAAGGAACTCTTAAATGACAATAAAAAAAACAAACCAAACCCAAAGCCATTGAGTTGATTCCACCTTCTAGTGGCACTGTAAGACAGTATAGAATTGCCCCATATGGTTTCCAATGGAAGCAGACTGTCACATCTTTCTCCCATAGTGGGGCTGATGGTTTCGAATCAACCTTTTTGATTAGCAGTCAAATGCTTTAACCACTGTGTCACCAAAGGTCCTTAAAATGACAATAAGACCACCAAAAGCCCACCTCACAAGGCTGCGTGTCTGTTTTCTTTTCTGTAATATAGGTATGTTCCCTGCATAGATAAGGACAAATGCACCTATAATACAGAAAAGAAAACTATAATTCAGAGAGGGTGGGTGGCATGTCCCACTCACAGAGCATGGGAAAGACAAAGCTGGGGCCAGACTTAGTGGGCCTAACCCTTCACCCCAACATGGGCTTTATCAACACTGACCCTGGCTCCCTCCTGGCTGGGCAGAATATCTGTGCCCACAGAGGCTCTGTTTGACTAGAGATGTCCCCAGCCCCATGAAGGGCAAACACAGTTGCTCAGGGAGAGGCAGAAATGTTCCAGAGCCCATGTGAGGCCATGTATCTGTGTTCCATCCTTCTAGGCTCTGTCCATGGAGAAGTCCCTCACAGTCCTGCAGGTGACCCTGTACCACTCCACACAGGGACCAACTGCCTTCACCAATGTCCCATCGCGATTGCAGCATGACACCAGCCCACTGCTGGTTGGCCGGGGGCAGGACGCTCACCTCCAGCTGAAGCTCCCTCGACTCTCCCGCCTACACCTGTCCCTGGAGCCCTACCGGGAGAAGGGCAGCACTCTGCTGTCCTTCTGCCTCAAGGCCCTGAGCCACAGGGGCTGCGTGTGGGTCAATGGGCTGATGATCAGGTACCTGGAACAGGTACCCCTGAGCACTGTCAACAGGGTCATCTTCTCTGGAGTCCAGATGGTGATCCACATAGACTGGGGTGTCTCCCTTGAGGCCTTCGTCTGCTGCTTCCATCTCAGCCCATCACCCCTGATTTACAGGCCTGAGGCAGAGGAGACTGATGAATATGAAAGCAGCCCCCAGGAGCAGCCTCCCCTGGTTTCGAGAGAGGCGACTCCAGGTCACCTGGGGTTTCTCCAAGGCCCTTCTCAGACTCAGGACAGCTCTCCCCAGCAAAGCTCTAGAGGAGAAACAGAAATACAGCTCCAGAGGGAGCTCACAGACGGTGCACTCTGCTAGCCCCACCGCTACTGAGAGCAAATCTTCACTGAAACAGGATCTGAAATATTCAAGCTACATCATGTGGGGTTGACAATGAGGCCTGCTGGCTGCCTCGCTCATAATGAGTCCATTCTGCAAACGCTGAGTAGCTGGGGGGTGGGGCAATGCCCTGGCAGTTACAGCTATGCTAGCTAACTGGGAACTTCATAGACTTTAGAGGCCCTAAGGGGGTATGGGGAGCCTCGCTCAGCCTTTCCCCACGTTTCCTTCTCCTGTTTGACTAGGAGTTACTTTATGTTGCTAATTTTGTGTGCTGCTTAAGAGCTGGAGTTTGAGGTTGCACCAGGAATGCTTAGACACATGTAACAATTACGTTTGTGGTAGCTCTGGGTTACCAAGTTTTCAAATACCCACAGGCACTTGGGGCTTAGGGAAGCCTGTGTTTAATAAACTGCAAGTATTTCATTAAGCTGGCATACCCAGTAGGATCCCTGGGTCCCCAAATGGGCTGCACGCATAAGGCGTTGTCACGCAGAGGCTGGGGGTGGGAAACATGGGAGACGTGTCAGAGGAAATTGGAAAGGTAGGAGCTCATGTTTCTTGAATGGATGCGGGCGGAACACAGGGCTTCCGGGGGATGGAGAGCTAAGGCTGGGCCTTCCTGGAAATCCATGGTCAACATCATCTTCCTCATCCTCACACAGTCCCACTCCCTGGCACTTCTGGATTGAAGCCTTGGCTGAGCATAAGGGAAAGGATTTCAGAGCAATGGGTTCTTTAAATTCTAGGAGGAGGTGAGATGTGGAGGTTGTGTTAGAATACAACTTGGCACTCACTTCACTAAAAACCCAAACCAAACCCACTGCTGTCAAGTTGATTTCAACTCATAACAACAGTGCGTCGTGTGCTAATTAATGGTCCTTCCAAATGGGAACTAGCAGGGTGCAAGGCCAAGGCTGAATAATTATCTCAGTAAATAGGGGGAGCAGAGTGCAGGCAACCACTAGCTATGCCACCCTGAGATGGGGGTGGTGTGGGTCAGAAACAGATCTACCTGTGGATTGAGGGAGAGACACAACCTGGCCGGTCTCCACAATCCTAGACCCCTCTCGAGGATAAGAAGTGCTGAGGGGATGCCACTGCCTGCTAGTGGGCTGGCTCCCATTCTGGGGTCAGGGTCTACCTGCAACAAGGCTTCCAATATTCTCCCTTTTCCACCTAAGAAGAAACACCCTTTAGCACCCAGGGCCACCTAAAAGGAGGCTCAGCTCCACTCCCAGGCCTGTGTGTGTGCCTTCTCCAGGGGAAGACAGAAATGAGCAAGACCCGGGCCTGCCCTTTCCCTTCCAATAGAGAATGAAGCCCGTACAGTCAGGTCATAGCCATACGGCAGAGAGAGCAAGGGCTGCTAGGGGAGGTGGCTGTCTAGTGCTGTGCATGGCTCTGTGGGGCCCCCACAGTAGTCCCGTCCTCATTCACTCAACAGACTTTCACCAAACACCTACCTTGTGACAGATGCTGTGAAAATCCCTAGGGACCAGCAGTGACAAGGCAGATATAGTCCCTGCCCTCGTGGAACTTCAGCGGGATTCAGGGAAAACAAGCATCCAGAAGTTAATTATTTAATGAATTATGAGATCACAGTATGATCAGTGCTATAGATGAGAGTAGCCCCCAGTCACTTTCTTCCTATTGTGTGTTCTCTCTCCTCAAGCTGGGGCTAACACTGGCTGGACTATGAAGGGGCCAAGTGCTCATTGTGTGCTCAACACTCTGCTTGATGCCCATTAATTCTCACAGCATCACAGATCAGCCAGGTTATTCACCCCATTTCACAAATGAAGAAACTGAGGATCAGAAAGGGTGTCTTGCCACAGGTCACACTATGTCATCTGGGGCAAGTAATTTAATGTACCTTTGTCTCTGGTACTTCCTCTGGAAAATAGGTAAGATAACAGGATCTACTTGTTAGAGCTACTGTGAGGCATAGTGCAGTGCTAAGGGAATTCATTAAGTACAGACCCAACAGCTCACCACAGTCATATATATGGAACTAAGGGAGACTTGCATCCCAGCAGACAGGTTCCAGAGCCCATGGGCTTACTGCACCCCAGATTTCCCTCCTGAGGATCTTGTTTTAGTCATGGATGTGGTGGGCAGGCAGTTTCCTTGCACCAGAAGCCCCAGTACTGAAAGTCTGTAGAATACAGTCTGTCAGGGCTGGCAACAAGTTCCATGTGGTTTGGTCTGCTTGAGTCCACTGACTTGAGACTGCTTTTATATTTCGCATATAAATTCTACATGCAGCAATGACCCCTCCACAGACTAAGTGCTCCCCAGGCTCTGCATCTGGAGCAGAATCTCATGTATGGAACTCGAGAAGCCACAGCCCAAGACTGTATCTGAATATCAAAGTCCAGAGAGAGGAAGCTGACTAAGCATCTCAACACCCTCAAGGTTCTGTTCCCTGATCCACCTGGGGCCCTTCAGGACAGGCTGCTGCTGAGTACCCTCCCAAGGCCCTCAGCCATCTGTGGGATCCAGGAGGGTTCTTTCCCCTCCCTCAGTGCACAAACTAGCTTAGCTGGTGTTCTCCAAGAGGAAGCAGTCAACTTCCTCCAAGTGGGCAACCATGCAGCCAGAATGAACTGCACGGCAGGCTGAAAGAATGACAGTGCCGCCAGGGCAGGAGGGAAGCCAGGAAACATCCGGTTTGCTTGTTTCAGACTCAACTAATTCATGAAACCTCCCCAAGAAGCTCACTCCATGCCTCATAACAAGATTCCAAGACAAAAAAAAAGCACACTTCCATCCTCTGCTCCATTTTCCTGAGTAGGAAAACACTTCAGTTATATTAAATCCATAACACCCACCCCTACTCTATACTAACAGTTGACTTTAAGGGCCTAGTCTATGAGCTGACACCACTTCCCTTTACCCACAGAGAAGCCTAAGCAAGTTGGTGAGTCCCTCCCAACAATCCCTTCTACTTTCTCTCAGCTCCTGCACACAGGGGAAGGCCCATGTGCCTAAGGGGTACACACACACACACACACACTTACCAACACTAACACTGTGGTGGTTACAAGCTGGAGTCAGACTGCCTGAGTGAAAATTCTTGCTGCATCACATACTAGCATTGTGATCTTGGACAAGTGACTTAATCTCCCCATGCCTCAGTTTCTTCTTCTGGAAAATGGGAAAGATAACAGTACCTGCCTCCTTGGAGTTATTGTGAAAGTCAAATGAGCCATATGTAAAGTATCTAGGGCAGTTCCTGGCACACAGTAACTCCTCAATAAGGATTTGCAAGTAAGGATGGCAAGATCAGCTTGCTTCCTTTGAACATGTCATCAGGAAAGACCATCATGTTTGGTAAAGTAGATGGTGACCACAAATGAGGAAAACCTTCCATGAGATAGATTGGCACAATAGCTGAACAATGGGCACAAACATACCAATGATCATGAAGATAGCATGGGACTGGATAACATTTCGTTCTGTTATACATAAGGTCACCATGAGTCGGAGCTGACTGACTCAACAGCAACTAACAAGAGCATTATTGTCCAATTGCATGGAATGAATTTAATGTAAGTAAACACATGGACTTAGCTTACACAGACACAGACACACACACACACACACCCTGCTACAAGGAGTTACATAAATTACATTCAGGCATATACCCCAGAGCACTACAATTCTCTGAAACCGCGTCTGGAAATACAGAAATCATCCCCTGTGCCCTTTAAGGCATTTAGCCCTCACATTCCTCTGCTTTTCCAAGAATGTGAATCTTCCCAGGCCATCTGAAAGTGAGACACTCTGGCCCCTCGAGCCTGTGTGTCAAGGGATATATGCTAGGGCTCCATAAATAGCCATAGTGCTGGGCTTACAGACACAGGTGAGGAAGTGCTGCAGACATATTAAAACACTGCAATGCTGGTACAGCCAGAAGAAGGAAGGCTCTGTGATGGAGCCCAGGTCCCTACTCAAGACATCAATGCACTGGAACCATGCTCTCTGTGTCCTGTCCCCAGTGAGACCTCAAGCTCCACAAGACAAGCAGCACAGGTTGTTCACTGCTGTGTTCCAGTGGCCATCACAGAGGCAGGCAGAGACAGATGGACAGATGGGCACTGATGATCAAGGAAGCAGTCATCTTGATTTTAATGGCGTATGAGCCAGGCTTGTCCAACTAGACAGGGGCAGGGTAGGGACCTGAAGTAGTGGAAGCTGGGCATCCAGTTGTGGCAAGAAGGTCACAAATCCTTAGAAAGACAGTGTGGAGAAGCAAGTGCCTCTTGCCTCCTCTTGGCCTCAATGGGGCAGCTCAGGCTTTCTAACTGGGGCAGCACAAGGTTGGTGTTCATGGCCCAAATTCAACCAGTCCCTGCATTTTTGGGACTCTGTTGTGGTGACTACAGAAGGAAGGTGATGGCCTTCACAGGGTCCTTGTCACCAAGAAACAGATTTCAGCTAGCACTTCCTTCTTCCAACAGAGGTACTTAAGGGGAAAGGTACCCCAAGGAGATTCTGGGAGGAGCTCAACAGTCAGGGGCTGGGCTGGGTGGACTGAGTCCAGGCCTGTTGTTCACAAAGCTCCTAAGATCTGGTTTGACCACTCTCCCGCAGTGCAATGAAAGTCAGCCCTACAGACCTCTTTCTCAAACACACCAGGAACACACCTGCCTCCCTGGCCCGCACCCACACCCTGTCCAAACAGAACAGAGTTGCTTGGCCTGGTAAAGAGATTTCCAGGGGCTATAGGAAGCTAAGGAGCCCTAGTGGCACAGTGGTTAAGTACTTGGCTGCTAACCAAAAGCACTAAGGTTTGAACCCCCAGCTGCTCCCAGGAGAAAGTTGTGGCAGTCTTGGAAACCTATGGGGACAGTTCTACTCTGGCCTGTAGGGGCACCGTGAGTCAGAATTGACCCCGTGGCAGTGGGTTTGGTTGGTAAGAAGTCCCTGGGTGGTGTAAATAATTAACATCCTCGATTCCTAACCAAAATGTT